AAGGTAAGTAAAAGTGAACCCATAGCTCACTTTTCTTCATAATTGAGTCAAAATATCACAAGCATGCGCATGTTTTTTCGTGGCAGTATAAGAGCTTTGAAGCAGGAGAGAGAGTATCTGGCGAAACGGGTAAACACCAAGCTAGGAGCCGAGGAAAGAGAGATGCTGTACCTGAAATGGGACGTACCGCCTGTGGGAAAACAGAGGAGGCAACAGTTGATCAACAAACTCTGGACAGATCCTCACAACACGCAGCACGTTAGAGAGAGTGCAGAGATAGTTGCTAAGCTTGTCGGGTTCTGCGACTCGGGAGAGAACATAAGGAAGGAAATGTTTGAGCTCAACTTCGCCTCACCGGCAGGTAAGAAGACATGGATGATGGGTTGGAACTTCATATCAAACTTGTTGCATCTCTAGTTTGTAGGCTTAGAAAAGAAAACTCGTAAATTTCAACACGGCTAGATGTCACTCTCTTATTTTGTAAATCCTTTAATTTCTCAGTCTTTTGATGCTAATAAAGTTGATTCTACCCTCGAAGCTTATTTTTTCTCTTAGATTCTGATGATATGATTGATCTTACGAATCTTAAAAATGTGAGATCAAAGGTAAATTTAGAAGAAAGATGTGAATGTTATAAATTATATATGGGAGGATTACTACACTAACCTTAAAAAGTAGCTATATTATTTGTTTGGCGCATTTTTATTTTTTTTACAAAACTAATCTAATATATTTAAAACACCCTTTTCGCCTTTGTTGAAAAAATCTAATTACGAAAATGTTATTATTTTTTTAATGCCACGTAGGCAGATTATTCCGCTGATAAGTTAATAAGTCTACCAAGCTTTAACAGTAGACTTATCAAATTTTGGTCAACGCAAAAATTTTATCGGTAGAGTTATTAGGTCGATGGTAGATTTATTCGAAAGTTGGTAGAGTTTACAAATGTTGGTAGACTTATCTTGGTAGAGTTTTGACGATGAGAGGTAGATTTATTATGTTTCGGTAGATTTGTTGTTATGAATGACAGACTTGTCAAACGTGTTGGTAGACTTGTTAAAGAAAGCGTTGACTTTCTCGCATAGTTGACTTTTTCGGTAGATTTATTGACAATGAAGTAGATTTATTTTCTGAGTTGGTAGACTTATGTCCTTTGGCGGTAGATTTATGTGAAAAAAGTTGTCAATATCTGTTTTATGGTAGAGTTATATCTAGTTGGTAGATTTTTGTGGTAGATATGTTTGTTTTGTGGTAGATTTAAATTGAAGTAAAATTTATTCCGGTGAGTGGTAGATTATTTGTTACATGAGGTAGACTTACAAAATGTTGGTAGATTTATTTGTTTTGTGGTAGATATGTTTGTTTTGTGGTAGATTTAAATTCAAATAAAATCCCTTCCGGTTAGTGGTAGATTATTTGTTACATGAAGTAGACTTACATAATTTTGGTAGATTTGTTTGTTTGTTTGGTAGAGTTTATGTAATCTGGTAGAGTTATCGTACGTATGGTAGACTTCTTATAATAATCATGTGGTAGATTAATTAAGTTTGGTATTTACAAAGATAACCTCGATCTGGTAGACATATGAGATGCTTGTGTTAGACTTGTGTATATGGTAGAGTTATTTTTCATGCTTTAGGTAGACTTAGTTGTTAATGTTTGGCAGACATTTGACTTTATGGATTGAAATTACTTTTTTGTCCTAAAAGTATTGTCCTATCTACGAAAAAACCTACCGTTTGGTAGACTTATGTTTGCAGTGTTGTACGTCTTTCTAGTTTCGTCCCTCTGGTAGACTTTTGGTGACGGTTATGTGAAACCGTTATCTCCGACCGTTGCATCGATTTAAAGTACTGCAAGTTCTCTATAAATACCACAACCGAGAAGTTTCATTTCCCATCCCGATTTTCCTATGGCGAATCATATGAACATCAACTCGCTCCCTTTTGATCTTTTGTACGAGATTATGTTAAAAATCTCTTCAAACTCGTATGCGGATCTTTGTCTTGCAAAAGGTTTGTCGAAAACACTTAACAACATCTCTAACGAAGCGGGTTTTCTTAGGAATGTTGATTTGATCAACTTTATCGCGCCGTGGAAGTGGGATCAACATGGAAGGGTGGGTGCATTCTTCACACGGTGCTTGGAGGCAGGAAATCCAACCGCACAATTGCGAAGAGGTTTATCTCTGATTTTTTTCGAAAATAGCCTTCAAGCAGGGTTGGATTTCATTATAATGGCATCAAACAATGGATCTCTCATGGGTAAGTGTTGGGGTCGGTTTTCACCCCACGCAGATAAAACCATCTCAAAATGACTAGGTATGGAAGAAAGACAAGTGGGAGAGCCGTTCTCACCAAGATAAGTGGGAGAGCCGTTCTCACCAAGACAAGTGGGAGAGCCGTTCTCACCAAGTGGGAGAGCCGTGAAGATAGACCAGTAGGGAGAGCCGTGAGGAAAGAGAGATGGGCCGAGCCGTATCGCAAGAAATGGGCCGAGCCCCTCTCCAACACGCCTGGGCCGAGCCGCGCCTCAGTGAGGTGGACCAGATCACGTCTCGACTCAAATGACAAGTGTGCCGAGCCGTGGAGAAGTTTAGATGGGCCGAGCTGTGGAGAAGTTCGGATGGGCCGAACCAAGGCCTTGAGAAACGAAGCCCATAAAAACCCTAGGCGAAATACAAAGGCGGTGAGCCGCACGAGGCGATAAGAAAATATTCCGAAAATCTCTCCCGAGATTCTCGGCTAGGCGGTTCAGAGAATTAGTATAAATAGATGATGTATACAATTCATTCTGTAACTTTTACAACTCGAGAGCAATAAAACCTAAACACTTTTACAGCAAGAAAAACTTTCTTTCGATCTTACTGTTCTTGACGATAAACTCTAGAAGTTTCCGTTCCCTTAGTTTTCCTTAAACAAATTTCTGGTTGTGCGAGTTTTGGCTCACACAATTTGGCGCCGTCTGTGGGGAATCGAAACTTTCTTACTCTAAATCGACAAGACTTTAAGATCCGAAGAACATGGCGAGCAACACCCCCGACGACAACAACAACAACAACACCGGTAACGGCGCGGAGAAGGACGCTCCAGCATCGGGCACAACGACGGCAACGATCGAAACCCAAGAGGAGATGCGAAACATGATGGCTGCGTTGATGAAGAAAATCGACGAACAGGATAAAAGAAACGAGGCGATTACAGAGAGGCTCGACGCGATGACGGCTGAGCGACTACACCCAACTTGGAGAGCCAGAATTCCCAACCCGATGGATGGAATCCGGGGAGGCTTCGATTTCTCGACACCTGCAGAAGCCTCAGGGAGCGGAGCAAGAAACCCCTCGGCTCCTCCAATGTCTCGTCTCCTCGACGAACAGACCCCCGCGGCGACCCGAGTCAACATGACCGAGCCGCCCCCTCTCCGCCGAAACTCAAGGCGACGAGCCGGCGAAGAAGAAAACGATGCGATCGACGTCGACGCCCAGCAGAACGACGGAACCGCGAATCCGCAACAAACCGGCTCGGCTCGGCGAATAAGTCAAGAAGACCTCGCCTCGGCACTAAACGGCGTCCGAACTGACGAAGTTTCCGACCCGACCCGCAGCGACAATCCAACCGAGGAAGAAGAAAACCTTCAATGGATCGAGCAGGCAGAGCGCGAAGACGAGCCGAGGAGAGAGGAGCGGGAGCGACCCCCCAATCAAAGGGAATGACTCACGCACAAACTCTCGAACTCAAAGAGCTGCGAGCCTCGATGGCTCGGACAGTAGCTGAAATACGCGCCATGAAATCCCAAGTGACAACGCGACAAGCGCCGCACCCGAAATCGACCGAATGCTTGAAGAAACTCAGAGAACCCCATTCACTGCAAGAATCACGGAGGCCAGGATTTCCGAGCCGGGGAAAGTGAGAATCCCGTTCTACGAAGGAACAACCAACCCGAAAGCACACATCACAGCGTTTCGGATAGCAATGGGACGAGCCTTCACAAAGAACGCCGCTAAACTCACCGAACGCGAAGTAGACGCCGGATACTGCCTGCTCTTCGTGGAGCATCTCAAGGGAGCCGCACTCGAGTGGTTTTCAAGGCAGGAACGAAATTAAATCGGCAATTTTCAACAGCTCTCCGCCTTGTTCCTTAAGCAATATTCGATGTTTATGGACAGAGGAACATCCGATGCCGACCTGTGGACATTATCCCAAGGACCGAACGAACCGCTTCGGGATTACATGGCAAGATTCAAGGCAGTCGTATCCAAAATAGAAGGGATAAGCGACAGACAAGGCTGCGCTCGAGGCTCTGAAACGATCTTTGTGGTACAAATCCGAGTTCTGACGGGAGATGGCTCTCAACACGCCGCAAAAAATTCAAGACGCTTTGCACCGATCATCAGACTTCGTCGTAAACGAGGAGGAAATGAAAAACTTGGACGAGCAGTACGAAGTAACGAAAGCAGCAATCCAAAGCTCAATTTTGCCGCGCCCCGCGAAGAAGGGCAACCCATCGAGCAACGCATCAACGCAGAGCTCGGATGAACCTAGAAGCGGAGGCGCCCATAACTACCAGATAGGCACCGGACGCGGAAGAGGAGAGCCGCGCAACAACACTTGGGTGAGAAAGTCCGCCAACTACAACGAGAAGGCTTTCTGCGAGTATCACCAGACCTACGGGCATTCAACGGCTTAATGCCAAACTTTAGGAGCAAAGCTCGCAGCAAAGATGGCAGCGGGAGAGCTCCAAAACGCGGTCAGACTCAAAGACCTCGTTCCTAACGAACAACAAGAGAGAGCCGAGGCGATAACCCCAAGCGCGACAGGAGACGCGAACCTGAAGAGCGACCCGAGCCAAGGCAAAGGATCAATATGATCATGGGTGGATCCCAATACTACCAAGATACCGTGTCCTCCATCAAAGCCTATCAGCGCCGAGCCGAAGCGAAGAAGAATTGGACAGAACCAACCGACATCCCAAACAAAGTGATCTCCTTCGCCGAGGAGGAAATGGCAGGAATCGATCGACCTCATAACGATCCGTTGGTGATTGAGTTAACGATCAGGGATCATGACGTAGCAAGGGTGCTCATCGATACTGGAAGCTCAGTGAACGTCATCTTCATGGAAACACTCAGAAGAATGGGAATATACCTCTCCGAGGTGGAAGCAATCCCCAAACCTCTAACCGGATTTTCAGGAGAAACGACGATGACTATGGGAACGATCAGGCTTCCTGTGGTAGCTGGCGGAGTCACTAAGATCATCGAATTCTGCGTCACCGATCACCCAGCAATATACAATGTGATCATGGGAACTCCGTGGATCAACGGGATGAGGGCGGTACCCTCCACCTATCATCTCTACCACAAATTCCCAACCCCAGCAGGTGTCAGAAGGAGTCACGAATGTGCTGCCTAGCCGAGCACAAGCTAAGGAACCCCGTCACCGACGCACGAGCAGACATCGACCGCAAAAAGATGAAGACAGACCGAGAGTCCGCGAACGAGCTCTCAAAACTCTTATAGCAATTACAGATAGCGGAGAGCCGCGAAACACACGTCGAGCCAGTATGCGATGCAGTGGACTCGGTGTGTATAGATGAGGCGCGCCTGGAGCGATGCGTCGAAATAGGAACAAAACTGGAAGAGCCTCTGAGAAGCGAACTCCTTTCCCTCCTCAAGGAAAACATCAACACTTTCGCCTGGACAGCAGAAGATATGCCAGGCATAAGCATCGACGTGACCTGTCATGAGCTGAATGTGGATCCGACCTTTAAACCAGTAAAGCAGAAAAGAAGGAAGTTCGGCCCCGAACGAGCTAAAGCAGTTAACGACGAAGTCGAAAGGTTACTCAAAGTATGATCAATCGCCGAGGCCAAATATCCGGACTGGCTCGCAAATCCAGTGGTCGTGAAGAAGAAGAACGACAAGTGGCGAGTATGTGTGGATTTCACCGCAATCGCGTCGAGCCTCTCCGTAATCGCCTCGTTTCTTTTATCATGTTCGTCGATTTTCTTCATCAACACAGCCATCATGTTTCGCATTTCCTCCTGGGTTTCGATCGTTGCCGTCGTTGTGCCCGATGCCGGAGCGTCCTTCTCCGCGCCGTTACCGGTGTTGTTGTCGTCGGGGGTGTTGCTCGCCATGTTCTTCGGATCTTAAAGTCTTGTCGATTTAGAGTAAGAAAGTTTCGATCCCCACAGACGGCGCCAAATTGTGTGAGCCAAAACTCGCACAACCAAAGATTTGTTAAGGAAAAACTTAAGGGGTCGAAAACTTCTAGGGTTTATCGCAAGAACAGTAAGATCAAAAGAAAGTTTTTCTTGCTGTAAAAGTGTTTAGAACTTATTGCTTAGGGTTGCAAAAGTTGCCGAATGAATTGTATACATCGTCTATTTATACTAACTCTCTGAACCGCCTAGACGAGAATCTCAGGAGAGATTTTTGGAATATTTCCTTATCGCCTCGTGCGGCTCACCGCCTTTGTATTTCGCCTAGGGTTTTTATGGGCTTCGTCTCCCAAGGCCACGGTTCAGCACATCATTCTCCTTCTCCACGGCTCGGCCCATCTAAGCTTCTCCACGGCTCGGGACATCTAAGCTCTTCCACGGCTCGGCCCATCTAAAATTCTCCACGGCTCGGGACGTTTGCCATTTGAGTCGAGTCGTGAGCTGGTCCACCTCACCGAAGCGCGGCTCGGCCCAGGCGTGTTGGAGAGGGGCTCGGCCCATTTCTTGTGATACGTCTCGGCCCATCTCTCTTTTCCTCACGGCTCTCCATTTCTTGTGATACGGCTCGGCCCATCTCTCTTTTCCTCACGGCTCGGCCCACTTGGTGAGAACGGCTCTCCCACTTGTCTTGGTGAGAACGGGTCTCCCACTTGTCTTGGTGAAAACGGCTCTCCCACTTGTCTTTCTTTTATACTTAGTCATTTTGAGATGGTCTTATCTACGTGGGGTGAAAACCGACCCCAACAATATACTGCTACAAAGTCATGTCGTTCGGGCTCAAGAACGCAGGAGCAACGTATCAACGGCTCGTCAATTAAATGTTCGCGGCTCAGCTCGGAAAAACTATGGAAGTATACATCGACGACATGTTAGTCAAATCACTCAAGGAGGAAGACCACGTCGCGCATCTACGGGAATGCTTCGAACAATTGAACAAGCACAACATGAAACTAAACCCAGCGAAGTGCAGGTTCGCGGTCACCTCGGGAGAATTCATCGGCTATCTGGTAACTCACCGAGGCATAGAAGCAAACCCCAAGCAGATCAAGGCTTTAATTGAGATGCCCTCTCCAAGGACGAAGCGCGAAGTGCAGAGGTTCACAGGAAGAGTCGCCGCACTAAACAGGTTTATTTCCCGTTCCACAGACAAATGCCTGCCCTTCTACGACACCCTCCGAGGAAACAAGAAATTTGAGTGGGACGAACGATGCGAGACGGCTTTCCAGGAATTGAAGAATTATCTGGCGAGTCCACCAATCTTAGCAAAACCAGTCGAAGGAGAGCCGCTCTTCCTCTACATCGCAGTGTCTACTACAGCTGTAAGCGGAGTGCTTATTAGAGAAGAATGATCCGAGCAAAAGCCCATTTTCTACATCAGCCAGACATTGACCGACGCCGAGACTCGCTACCCCCAGATTGAGAAGGTCGCCCTAGCCGTCGTAGTGTCGGCTCGGAAACTGCGCCCGTACTTTCAATCACATTCGATTGTTGTGCTCGCTGTGCTTCCGCTGCGCTCGATCCTACACAGCCCTAGCCAATCCGGTCGGCTCGCCAAGTGGGCCATAGAGCTAAGCGAATACGACATCGAGTATCGGAATAGGTCGTCTGCAAAGTCACAGGTGCTCGCAGATTTCCTCATTGAACTTCCCACCGAAGCAACAAACGAGCCGACTCTAGACGAAGTGTGGACGCTGCACGTCGACGGCTCGTCGTCTAAACACCGCTCGGGAATAGGAATCCGCCTCACCTCGCCCACCAGAGAAATATTGGAACAGTCTTTTCACCTGAACTTCCACGCCTCGAACAACGAAGCGGAATACGAAGCACTGATCGCCGGCATACGACTAGCGCAGGGAATCGGAGTTCGAAAGATAAGAACCTTTTGCGATTCACAGCTAGTAGCATGTCAGTTCAACGGAGAATACGAGGCGAAGGATGGACGAATGGGAGCTTACCTCAAAGTGGTCCGAGAGTTGGTGCAAAAATTTGATGAGTTCGAACTCACTCGCATTCCCCGAGGAGAAAACACCTCGGCCGACGCCTTGGCAGCACTCGCTTCGACCTCGGACCCAGACCTCCGACGAACGATCCCAGTCGAATTCATCAAACGTCCTAGCATCGAAGAAGTGGAAGGAGTTAGGCTGATAAATCCTCCTGAACAAGAACCAGAGGACGACGAAGCCGTTCCGATGGATGAAGACGCCTCACCGGCCGAGACGGAATACTGCTGCGACAAAGAATGGCTCGGAGCTATCCGAGTGTATATCGCCGATGGAGAGGTGCCAACCGACAAATGGGAAGCCCACAAACTAAAAGCTCAGGCCGGACGGTATGTCCTCGTCTATGGCGAGGTGTTTAAATGGACATTTTCAGGGCCTCTCATGATATGCGTCGAAGAACCGGAGGCAAGAAAGATCATGGACGAGGTGCACAGCGGCGCGTGCGGGAACCATTCCAGCGGAAGGTCGCTCGCTATCAAGATTAAACGGCACCGCTACTTCTGGCCCACGATGGTCACAGACTGCGAGAAATTTACAGCGAAGTGCGAGAAGTGTCAGCGGCACGCTCCAACAATTCATCAACCCACCGAGTTGGTCTCGTCAATTTCATCACCTTATCCGTTCATGAGATGGTCGATGGACATCGTCGGACCTCTACATCGCTCGAAGCAGAAGCGTTTCCTGCTCGTCCTCACGGATTACTTTTCCAAGTTGGTTGAAGTCGATTCCTACGCAAGCATAAAGGATGTTCAAGTCGAACACTTCGTCTGGAAAAATATCATCTGTCGACACGGGGTCCCCTACGAGATAGTCACCGACAACGGATCCCAGTTCATCTCAACACGCTTCGAAGCCTTCTGCGAGAAGTGGAAAATCCGCCTCAGCAAATCTACGCCAAGATACCCTCAAGGGAACGGACAAGCGGAGGCAGCCAACAAGACGATCCTCGACGGTCTGAAAAAGAGGCTCGACGCCAAGAAGGGACGGTGGACAGATGAACTCGAAGGAGTCCTTTGGTCTCATCGGACAACTCCGTGCCGAGGCACCGGGGAAACTCCATTCGCTTTGGTCTACGGATCGGAGTGCGTAATTCCCCCCGAGGTGGATTTCCCAGGTATTCGACGAAGACTTCTACCAGGACAGGAGGGCTTGAACCACTTAATGATGCTAGATGAGCTCGACCTAATCAACGAAAAGCACGACCAAGCCTTAATTCGAATACAGAACTATCAACAAGCAACGGCGCGATACTACAACAAAAACGTTCGTAGCCGAAGATTCAAAGCAGGGGAGCTCGTCCTCCGAAAGGTCTTCCAAAACACTGCCGAGAAGAACGCAGGAAAGCTCGGAGCAAATTGGGAAGGTCCTTACAAGGTCACAAAAGTGGTTCGTCCAGGAGTCTACGAACTCGCAACACTAGCTGACGAGGCGATTCCAAGATCATGGGACGCAATGCATCTGAAGAAATACTATCACTAAGGATACAACACGACCAACATGAACTATGGGACGGCTTGATCCCTACAAAGACTACGTAGGCAGCCCGTCCTCGGACGGGTTCAGCTGTACCCCCTCCTAAAAAGGGGGGGGGGAGTGGGTACGTATACATACCTCTTTTAACTCTACAATTTTAGCTTGCTCACTTAGGAACATCGCCACTTTGGCACATTCTCAGTTCGTTTTGAATCATCTACTTATTTCACGTTCGGTCATTATCGCTTCGGCTAGTTTCTCATTCTTTCTAAATCAGCAAGTTCGGATTTTTAAATTCTTTCACTCATCACTTCGGCGAGTAATCATGACCTGGTTACCTCGGACCTTCGGTGAGGTCACTCATCACCTCAGTGTCAGTTCGGCAAACTAAGCCACCGAACGCCTCGTCTCGTTGCTGGCCACAACGGGGCAACAAATACAAAGTTCTCTAAACGGACTTTGACGCCGCGGTCTCATTTCGGGCCTCGTCTAAGCGACGTTCGACCTTAGACAAGTCCGCCTCGTACTCGGCCATCCGGTCGTTAATGGCCGCGACAAACTGCAAAGAACAAACTCGCGTTAAAACACTTAGTAAAAATTTGCAGAAATAAAGGAAAGCAAATAGAACGTACCTTGGTACCGCGCTGTGCCATCGCGCCGTACGACCTCGGCCTCCTCAGCTTCTCCGGAGGAGGAAGACGCGTGCTCGCGTTTTTTACACGCGAGAACATGACGGCAGAGGCGTCGGGGTCGTCGACGACCAACTTGCGCGCGGCAGGGTCCCTGGGCGTCGGCTTCCACCTCTTCTTGGACGGCTCGTCCTTCTGAACGGCGACACCCTTCCCCTTGTCAGTAGCCGAACGTTTTCGGCTAGAGTCATGCTTCTGAACAACCGAAGTCGGTGGCCTCGTCGACTTCGGGAGGGCCAGGATGGTGGAGTGCGAAGGAGTCTTACTCCGCGCCGCCGAGCTGTCTCCGGACACCTTGGGGATAATTTCGCCCGGTTCCACCTCGGGCGCTGCATCTTTCTCAGCCGCCTCGGCAGTGTTGCCTTCTGCGGCTCGGACCATTACATCTCCTTCCCGGCTCGGCGGGTCGGGTTGAGGGACGGCCTCGGCTTGCACTGAAACCGCCTCGGCTTGCGCTGGAACCGCCTTGGTTTGCGCATGAGCCGCCTCGGCAGCTTGTCTAGCGGCCTCCTCTTCCTCGCGCCTCTTCCTTTCTCTGAGAGCAATTATTACCATCTTCTCCCAGGTATCTCTTGAAGAACTTTCTTTGAGAGCAATTATTCCTTTCTTTGAGGACGAAGAGCTGACGGGGACTCCGGCAAGGATGGCTCGCCCTTTTTCTACTCTTTCGAGGGTGAAGTTCTTTCTCCAATTAACCTTTCGCGCCAAAAGAGAGTCTCGAACAGTAAAGAGGTCGTCGGGATCGGGGGAAGAAAGCACCGAACTGCAAAACAAAGCAAAAAAGAAAAATTTTCAGAAAAGGAAGAGGATACCAAAAATAGTTCCGAGTCGAGGCAAAGCTTCGGGTCGGCTACCAAGTGGTCCCCAAGCGGTCTTGGTTCTTTGAACGTAATTCTCGCCGACCGACGCCTCGTTCACCAAGACGTAGAAGAAGCATTCAGTCCAAAACTGATCCTTGCTGGGAAAACCGCCGATGATCCGTCGCTTCGCCTTGTTGGAAATATAGAATCTATTTCCCTTCGGAGCTTTCCTGATTTCCAGCAAGTTCAGCAGGTGATTCAGCTCGATATCAACTCCGCACTCGAAGCTTCAAACTAAGATGCCAATCATATGCCGTAATCCCCTCGGCATGATTTGCCCAATCGAGATCCCGTGTTTCCAGAGATATTCGAGGATCACTCTGGGGATCGGGAACCAGAGGAAGCAAAGCTCGAAGAAAGCCTCGTACAGAGTGAAATGATTCTCTGGAGGCTTGTCGGCTCGGTCGCTCTTCTCTGTAACGACGAACTCCACCACCTCGGATATCCCAAAGCGATGCCTCAACGCCTCGAGCAACTCAAGGGAGCAAAGCGTAGAGCCAGGCGGGTCAGGTTTTTGTCTCTTAACTCTCGGCCCTCGCCCAGATGTGGAAGCGCCTCGGGACGCCTTGAGATGTTCCAATTCACGCTTCGCCTCGAAAAGGTCAAAGGGAAATGCCTCCTCCTCGGCCTTAAATGCGGCGCGATTAATGTCTTCATCAGGAACGGGATCCTGGGGACGCCTCGTCAAAACCGACGGCTCGCCATCCGGAGAACCGACATCTGATGGGTTTGCATGGTTTAACGCTTCGTCAGATGAACGATTGGAGGGGCTCGGCAAAACAGACGCCTCGGAGGATTCTGCCGTACCACTCGCCTCGGCATCTACGCGGCTCGGCTCGTAATGAAAAAGTGAATCCAACGAATCGTCGGAGCAGCTCAACATAATTTACGACTTGTACAAGAGTTACAGCACGACTCGGCGAGCCTCTACCGGAAAAAGATCTGGAACGGCGGAGACCTCGGAAACCCTAGCCAGAAAATAAATAAACTAGAGAGAGAAAGAAGAGAGAAGGGAGAGCTACCTTTAGTAAAAACGAGTGAGTCTGAAGATAATGAGGAAGAATGAAGGAGCTCACCCATTTATAGGAAAACCGAAGCGCGTGAATTCCGCGTAAACCTCGGGAAACCTTCCAAACAGCGCGTGGAATCCGCAGTGAAATGGCTAGATCGAACTGCGTCGGTCGCACACGCCAATAAATCAAGAATCTTCTCTCGGAAGACCAACAGTCGGGATATCCAAGTTTTCATCCGGTATCTTACCAAAGTAAACGCCTCGTCGTTAACGAAACGGCATGGCATTAACTCCCTCTCTTAAAACGCCTCGTCGTTAACAAAACGGCACGGCTTTAACTCTTGCTCTTGAAACGCCTCGTCGTTAACGAAACGGCTCGGCGTTAACTCTTGCTCTCGAAACGCCTCGTCGTTAACAAAACGGCTCGGCATTAACTTTTTCTCTTGGAACGCCTCGTAGTTAACAAAACGGCACGACATTTACTCCCTCTCTTAAAACGCCTCGTCGTTAACGAAACGGCACGGCATTAACTCTTGCTCTTGAAACGCCTCGTCGTTAACGAAATGGCTCGGCGTTAACTCTTGCTCTCGAAACGCCTCGTCGTTAACAAAACGGCTCGGCATTAACTTTTTCTCTCGGAACGCCTCATCGTTAACGAAACGGCTCGGCACGAACTTTCTCTCAAAACGCCTCGTCATTAACAAAACGGCTCGGCGTCAACTCCCTCTCTTAAAACGCCTCGTCGTTAACAAAAACGGCTCGGCACGAACTTTCTCTCGAAACGCCTCGCCATTTATTCGGCTCGGCATAACCTTCTCAAATCGCCTCGGCTCATCATTACCGAACAAAATCGCCTCGTCCTTAAACTTGCCTTGGCATCTTCGGTACCCTTTCGAAACACCTCGGCACCCTCGGCACTCCTTGGAAACGCCTCGGCGTCTTCATTCCCAAAACACCTCATCTGGGCTTACGTCATAACAGTTTGACTCGATGGTTTATCCTACGGTCAGGAGTAATGGACCTCGTCACTCTCGCCTCCGAAACTGACGAGCTGGGGGGCTAACTGTTGGGGTCGGTTTTCACTCCACGCAGATAAAACCATCTCAAAATGACTAGGTATGGAAGAAAGACAAGTGGGAGAGCCGTTCTCACCAAGATAAGTAGGAGAGCCGTTCTCACCAAGACAAGTGGGAGAGCTGCACAAGACTCGTCAATACTCACGATCTCGCCGCAGGTAGGTTTCCACTCCTACAGAAAAATCGCCTGTTTCATTCTAGGGCTGATACTTAATGAAAACTTTCGCAACACTAACTATCTAGATCAGATACTAGGTGATCAATCAAGCATACATGCAATAATTACCGATTATGAGAGCCCTTTTCGGGAACCCTAAGCCCAACTCGAGATCTACTCAGACATGGCTGAGTTCGACATCATCATTGGTTTTAATAAAAGTAATGAAAAACAGTAAAGAAAAGAGATAAAGAAAGCTTCTCTATTGAAGAACTCGGACTTGAACAATCTTCTTCAAAAATCTCATAAAAAACGGCTAAAGGAAAAAGGGTTTTTGTAAAGTATGAAGGGTGGTTTCTAAAAACGACCTAAATGACATGTATTTATAGTCTCCAATACTCCATGGTCTCTAGGGTTCCGGAATTGAGGCTGAGAATGACTTTGGGCTTCAGATAAGTGGGCTTTAACTCGGAGAATGATTGCCGTGGTCGGGAGTGTTGTGACCGCGGCAATTGGCTTGTTGGCCGCGGTCGGGAAGCTTCTGACTGCGGCAAATAGCTTGTTGGCCGCGGTCGCGTGAGTTGCTGACCGACTTCGAGTGGCTCCGGGGCTAATGGAATATCTTGAGATCCAACCGTTGGAATGTCTCCAAACCAAGTGCATTTGAAAGCTGGTTGATTATTCTATAAGTTGTCCAATTTTGAGGGTGATCAAACGGTGAGAAGGTATTCGTCTCTCCATGAGAGTTTTGACGGTCTGCATTTATCCAAAAGAGTCTTTTTGTTCCATTTTGTGCCTCTTTATCCCAAATTACCTGAAAAGTCTTTTAAAATCCGGAAACATAGAAATCCTTTGAAAACCTTTGAAAATGGAGTAAAAAAACCTGTAAAAGATATTAAAATGATCCATAAAAATGGTCAAAATCCGGTGTTATCAACTCTCCTAGACTTAGTCTTTTGTTTGTCCACAAACAAAACAAAGGCTAAATCTCGGCAGGAACTAAACAAAATCTCAGAGACCAAACTTCTAGACCAATATCAATCAGTATGCATCAATCGGGAATAGCGTAGAAAATTCTCACTAGCAATACAGGCATAACTAGTCCGTTAATCCGTCATGCAGAAATCTATGCACTAAGATCTAACTTCCAGTCAACTAGCTCTTAACATTCATTAAAAATCTCGGTGGTTCTCATCAAAGAAAATCTAGGCAAGGCGATCTAGGCTAGGTGTCAAGAAGGATTATTTTGGGGGGGGGGGGTAAGGCTTAAAGTGTTTACGGGTTACCTGAAGATTTGGAGGATGCAGGATATTATGCAAAACCACAAGAGAGAGTGAAGCTGTTGGTATCCACAGTTTTCAGTCACTTTCTTCTTGACATAGATTCATGGTCTTCTTCCTCAGGTTCTCTCCAAACTCCCCCAGACTTAGATTTTTGTAAATCTTTCAAAACAATAGCTCCTTAAACGAATAGTGGTTGCTCATTGCTCCACAAATTTCGACAATCTAAGACTCATTAGGCTTTTTGTTTCCCTTTTTCTTTTCACGTTTTCTTTTTTTTTTTTTTTTTTCTTTTTTATAGGGAAAGGGAACACCTTTAGATATAGAGTCTTAGAGAGCACTAATTTACCAGTTAATATCTGTCTTCTAAAGCTTTATTATGTTTCTGATACTCTTCCTTCCCAATTCCATTCAGTCTCCTTTGTGAGTGACTGAAAACTGCGTCGCTCCTCTTCTCTCCGACGTTTTGCACATATCTGCTGATATAAACTAAAGAGAGAATGCATGAGGATTGAAAACAAGGGTTTTGGGTTTAGGGTATGGTACCAGATAAAGATAAACTGGTCATCTAGAACGACAAAGAGTGGTAAAAGTGAGAGTAAAAGACGTCCTCGATGTGTATGTCGATGCCTGCCTAAAATCAATGATGAGAAAATTAGATATCAATATTAAGTCCAAATTAAATGAGCTAGTATATCCTGTCAGAAAGAATCTCCATGAATAGAAGTCCTCTGGTGGGAGTTCGTAGTGCAAGTACTCTACCTACCGCCTAGTCTAGTGCTAACCACAAATGAGCTATCATGCATAGTGTAGAAGTGTGCAGGTCTAAATCATCATAGTTTTGCGTCAAACAATCCTGAAAATACTTAATGTCGAATAGGCTACATATTAAAATTTAAAAAAGTACTTGAAATTTAAAAGCAAAGCAGGGAAATGATTAGTACAGATAGACATCCTCCCCCGGACTTAAATCACACTGTCCCCAGTGTGAAAAAGTTGGTGAGAAGATGGTGAATAAAAGCAAAATAAAATAAAATATGATAAAAGAAAAGAAAATGATGATAGAACCGTGATGGTAGTGAAGTGCTGATCAATCACTCATCCTCCGATGTGTCCTCTGCGAACTGGTGCTGCTCCTGTAAGAAGGTGACAACGCGCTCAAAACGTCGTCACTGTCTCTCAACTCTGCGCTCCAGATCGGAATGAGTGTGTGATGATGTAGATGATGAGGTGTGACCAGTCAAAATAGATGGCTGAAAATGAGCACGGGCCGCAGCTGCATCACGCTTCGCCTTGGCCACTATGTATTGGCCAATGGTGAATGGTAGACGAGGTACAGATGGCAGAAAATCATCGGATACCGGAGTCCATCGTGGGCGTCCTCCGTTGCACAATCTCGGGATAGATGCTGAAGGTAAACGGACTCGGTGCTCCTCGGCGCCAGTGCAATACTTGTAACCAAACCTGTCTGGATCGAAAGCGGCACGAGAGATAGTGTGATCGTGAGAAAGATAAAGTAGATCATACCAGACATCAGGAAGTGGATCATCAGATGAGAAATCGAATCCTACAGCCTGTAGTATCGCTGTAATAGCACTCCCGAAAGCTGGAGTAGCGTCCTCGCAACCATGTAAATCATGCTTCACCTTTACCATATTCTGCGCTATGATCCATGCAAAGCAGGCGAGTCGTGGGTCATCCATAAACGGAATCTGAAGTGTGATGAGCTCAGTCTTCAAAACACTTCCCATGTTGGCTCTACAGAAGATCGTGTGTGCTAAGAGTTTGTGCACAACTCTCACTGCTGGGTGGCTAAGAAGGGCTGACTTCGATCTCCCACTATCATAGGTTCCATGACCCATCTCTCTCCACAGGTTAAGATCAGGTTCATCTTCAAGGTAAATGCCATCAGTGTATGGAAGCTTAAGAGCTTCACAAACCTCGGAAATGGTGAGAGAATAAGGCTGTCCGCGGATAGAGAATGACAAGATGCCATCTGATGCTCTTGGGTTCCTCCTCTTCGTGTGGTGGAGTGTAATAGTCGCTAAAAGCTCACGGACTAGCTCAGGATAAGTCGGAAGGTTCAGCTCCATGTAGGGTCTCAGCTTAAGTGCATCGATGTACCAGATCACATCCTCTCTGATTCCAAGCATCTCGAGTGTATGATAATCAATGCAAGGCGTGGGTTTGATGTTCAGCTTCTTGAAACAGCTTGCATAGTCCACTCTCGGGTTTGTCTCCCTCCCAATGTATCGAATTTGTGGTGGCTCGGGAGTTGCTCGTGTTTCTCTTGAGTGCTGGAGCAATCTCATCACATAGCTTCTTCTTCTTGGTCTGGCTTGGTTCAGCATGTACTCT